CATGTCCCCCCGGAACTGTCGGTCCCATTGTTTTCTCCAGATTTTTCATCCAGCCTATCTTATTTAGACAGACCTGTGGAGATAATAACATTTACAAAAACAAGACAGCAAAACCAAGCAACAGTATACAATAAACCAATGACAACAAAACAAAACACAACAAGAAAGAAAAGCTTGTAGTTAGTTCAAGGATTGTTTGTTGGCCTTTAGGAGTGTTTCCAGTCCAGTCTGTTGGAGCACCAAAATCCACCTTCAGCATTCCCTGGGGACCTCGACGCTCCATTCCCTTGCTGTTCTTTTGCACCCCCTTAGTGTTTTGCCTCGGTGTGGCAGGATCAGATCGGGTACATTTCCCACACTGTGTCTCTGGTGCTGTCCCCTGTAAGACTATGGGTCAGTGAGGGGCGTCACGTCTCATAATGGGGCCGGTCATGTCCTCTCTGTGGACTGGCTGCTCTAATTGGGAACATTGTCCTCATGCATTGGCCAACATTTTCAATGTGCAGAGTATCTATTATATATCATTCCTTGGTTGAACAAGACAGTTTTTTTTTGGAAAAGTTTTATTGGCATATAATTCACATATCATACAATTCAGTAGTTCAGTCATATTAAGAGTTGTACAGTCATCACAATCAGTTATAGAACATTTTTTCTTTCATGTACTCATTGTTTTTAGCTCCCTACTTCCCTCCCCCTTATCTACTGTGCCATGCCCAAAGAACCATTAATCCAGTTACTGTCTCTCTAGATTTACCTATCCTAGATTTCATATGCAGGAAAACATACACCCCTCCCAAAAAAGAAAACAGAACTTCAATTAAAAAGAAAGCAGAAAGTATTAAAATTAGAACAAATTTTAAATAAGTCAAAAGGGAGATCATTTGATAAGGTGGTAAATTTTAACCTAAAGACATAATCTTTTGTTAAAATTTTTTGACATAATCTTTTTAAATTACGCAAAAGGTAAGTCCAGAGTATTGCTGCTAGGGTTCCAGTTCACGCAGGCAGAGGTTTATTTGAAAGAGAATGTGTTCATCCTGAGTCTGCGATCAGACAAGTTCTCTCAGTGGTGTATGCTGTAGTCCCGTTAGGGTGCCTTCCAAAAAGAAAGTCTAATCAAACAGTGGCTCCCGAGAGGTTCTGTGGGCCAGTTAAAATTCCAGGTGGGCAGGTTAGCCCACGAGTTATGACAACTATTTTGGCAGGGCCCCAGAGGAGTGCTCTAGATTTTTTTGAAGGCTCACGGAGGCTTATTACAAAGAAGTTTTAAGCAAACTGAAAACTTCATCTGTGAGAAACAGGCCAGGAAAAGTTGTGCTGAGAAACCATTTTCCGTGAGGTCAATGCGTCTTACCTTCTCATTCTTCTCGGGTAGCAAGGGCTGTCCTATGAGAATTTTGTTAGGAACCTCTATCCAACCTACACCCCCGATCTTGCCCCTGCAGGCTTGTTGTTCCCTGAGCTCACAGAACAGTAGAGAGGTTTGAGTTGCTTGGGATGCCAAAGCTGTAGCTTTGCTGTGAAAAACCCTAGAGCTCAGGATTCTTCAGAGAAGGGTAGAAACACTGTGTGGACCTAGATGGAGGCTATATCAAGAAACAGTGCTCCACATTTTCATATTTTTTGTCATTTTATGGCAACATTTCTTTTTTTTCATTGTTTTATTAGGGGCGGCAGTATTTCTTGACTTACCCTTGTTCATGGACTATACAGAAGGCCTGTTCAACCTGTCCATCTCACCCCTCTCCCTTGATGAAGGCAATGATTTGATTATTTGATTCATGATTATTCCGGTTAAGATGTTTCCACCATCTAAAATAAGCTGGCTGCTACTTTACAGATCTAAAGTTTTCTGATGCCGCAAGTTGAAGTTAATTGTTTCAATTCTGTTCCTTTGTGGTGTTAAATAAAGTTGTCGTGGGCAGACATACTCATTTTTATTCTGAAGTGGGTGACACTGTGCTAATAATGGAAAGAGCAAAGCAAAGAAAGCTGCTCATACTACTGTTGCCACTTGTTACAGACTTAAAATTGTTGCGTTCTTGAACGCAGTCCTTACAGCCACCGTAGGAGGTATCTACTCTCTCTCTTATGGATGAGGAGTTTGAGACTGAGGTGTACTCATTTATTCAAGAGATGTTCATTTGGTATTTGCTGTGTGGTAAGCACTGGTAGTACTGGCTGCTACCTTCGTGGTCAGGGGAAGGAAACAAATGCTCGTCAGAGTTCACCGTTACAGTCTGTGAAGGACAAGTACAGAGTACAGTGCTCAAACAAACTCACTGCCATCGAGGTGATTCCAACTCATAGCAGCGACCCTGTGTAGAGTTTCCACGGCTTTAGGTCTTTATGGGGCCAGATAGCCTCATCTCTCTCCCACTGAGCAGCTGGTGGTTTCGAACTCCTAGTTTTGTAGTGTTTAGTCTAACGTTTCCCTAACCATGAGTACTGTGTTAGTGCGGAGCAAAGCCTAGTCTGATCTGGAACTTAAGGGAGACCTCCGAAGACAGCTGAACGATGCAGTTCATAACTGTCCAAGACCTGCCTGACCATGTGTCGCAGAGCTAAAATGTGATCTCAAGTTGCTGGACTGCCAAGCTCTTTCTCGTCTCTGGATACTCTCCCATGTTCGTGCGTGAAGAGTAATGTAAGATCTGAATCATAAACTTTGTCCTGTTTCTGGATAAAACTAGAAAAGGACATACCAAAACACGCCAGGACCTGGGAGAGGGTGGGTTTGTTCACTTGTACAGATATTAGTAAACTGAGTTGTCGATATTTATAGAGCTTCCCTCCGTAGAGGATAGATATTTATGGTGATGCACACCCTAGGCTCTAATATGAATGTTTCACATATGTGTAGACCACTAGTTTATAGGTCAATTGTTGAATTAGTAGTTGTTGTTTTCAACAACAGAGGCAAAGGGATTTCTCTGACTTTTTTTCATGTAGAGGTTTAGAAATTGGATTATATATGTAGTTCATAGTTGCCAAATGCTAACTATTGGTACCTTTTGAAATGCAGTGATGGCGTCTGGGACCCTGAGAAGTGGCATGCCTCTCTCTACCCAGTTTCAGGGCGGAGCTCACCTGTGGAAAACCAGAAAAAAGAGCTGGATACAGACCGGCCTTCCCTAGTGCGTCGGATAGTAGGTGAGCACATGGTCACTAATGTTGAGGATATACCATTGGCTGCTGACTTCATTCTTAACTGTAAGAGTTTTATGCTTTGGAGAGTGGGAGGGATGTCATTAGGGAACTGGATTTGAACTGCCAGCTTTTCAGCTAGTGTTTGAGTGCTTAACCTCAGAGATTGTTATTTGGCAAAATTTTCTTAATAGTTGCATAGGTACAGACTTGAAGTGAAAACATTGTAGACACCAATTTTGGAAATCACTGTAAAGTAACTCATTACTTAAAACAGACAAAGCAAAAGGGTCACTCTTATTAAATATATCATGTGCATTTTACCAGTCTTTCCACATTCTTCCCCTCCCCCCAGTCATGGACACATACATAGTTAAGAAAGATGTCCCTTGTTGGTTTGTGTAACTCCCTCTTTTGGACATCTTTCCAGATCCACGGGAGCGTGTGAAGGAAGACGATTTGGATGTTGTTCTCAGTCCACAGAGACGAAGCTTTGGTGGTGGCTGCCATGTGACGGCTGCTGTAAGCTCCCGACGCTCGGGGAGCCCACTGGAGAAAGACAGTGATGGGCTTCGTCTGCTTGGCGGACGGAGGATCGGCAGTGGGAGAATAATGTCTGCCCGGACCTTTGAAAAGGACCACCGTCTTAGTGATAAGGACCTTCGGGACTTGAGAGACAGAGACCGTGAAAGGGACTATAAGGACAAGCGTTTCAGGGTGTGTCTTCTAAACCCGCCCGCACCGGGTGTGCTGGGGGTCCTGTATCCACTTCATTTACCCTGGGTGACTTCCGCGATTGATCTCAGATGTCTGGAACCTGCTCTCAAGCCCGACAGAGGATTAGAGATCGCTGTGGGAGGAGGGAGGGTAGAGGTCTCTTGCCTGGTATTTCCATCACACTTTTGAGTATCACTTTAACTTAACCAAGACCTGGATTGGGATGGAAATGCCTTAATAAGAATCTTATTTTTTGTTTCATTATGTCCTTTTCCAGAGAGAGTTTGGGGATAGTAAGCGTGTCTTTGGCGAGCGTAGAAGAAATGATTCTTACACGGAAGAAGAACCAGAGTGGTTCTCAGCTGGACCCACGAGCCAGTCTGAAACCATTGAGCTGACTGGCTTTGATGACAAGATCCTAGAAGAAGACCACAAAGGGAGAAAGAGAACGAGGCGGCGGACAGCTTCTGTGAAGGAAGGTCAGCACAAAGCGTGGGCGGGAAGTTCGCACTACTACAAGACATGTCCTCCAAACTGACTTCCTGATGCATTTAGGAATAGACACTGGCACCAGATGTTGCCAAGCGGCACATTGTTACTGTGTTACAGCCTGATTTTGAAACAGTGTGAATTCACTAAGTGGGCAGTACCTCCTCAACTCATTCAGCCTGCAGTGTTAAACAGCAGCACTTCACATGACCTTCAGACATAGGAAATAGGTAGTGAGGTAATGAGAGTTCTCAATTTTTTTAGTTTCTAAGCCCACTCTCTTCACTTCAGGGTGTTAGACCTTCCCAGGGCAGTTGTAAATGACTTGGCTTCTTCCAAATTTAGTTTTCTGACCTTTTAGGGGAAGGAAAAGTATCTTTGTAACTAAACTCAAAGAGCCAGAGCAGAATATGTGTGAAGTGGTTGGTACAGAGAATTGGCACATTGTATTTTATAACAGTATTTATAACAACTGTATTTTATAACAGTATTTTGGCTCCAGGGTGGTCAACCCTGGGCTGGTGGTTTGGGAGAAGAAGCAGTGCCGGGCTATGAGGAAGAGCCAGCTAGGCATCTGGGAGTTGAATATGGGGACTGCTGCTTAGATAAAGAGTTATCTTTGATCAAAGTGGGCCTATTTCTTTGTGGATTAAGACAATGCCTGTTTCATAACATTAAGGGTTTCTTTTAGCATTGAAGATCTAATGTACACTTCAGAGCCTAACCTGAGCACTTATTCAGTAGCTTCTAGTTCCTTCCAGCCTTCAGGTTTAATTGGGATAAAACCTTTTGACAGACACCTTGGTGGAATAGTGGGTTACTCATTGGGCTGGTAACATCAAGGTCAGCAGTTGGAAACCACCAGCCACTCCTCGGGAAAAAGATGAGGCTTTCTACTCATAAGAATTACAGTCCCAGGAACCGACGGGGCAGTTCTACTCTGTCTTCTAGGGTCGCTGTGGGTCACATTGAGTGACTGGGAGTGAGGCAACTGAAGGAAAAAGCTACGGTAATATGTGTCTATTTCAGTACTACCTTACAGTTATTCTGAGGCGAAGATAAACGCTAGACATATTTACTAGGATTTGCCCTTATCTCTGTGCTGTTAATACATTCTTAACCAGGGTGGTGCAGTAAATTGATGGGTAACTTGGGGACTTAGCTCTGAAATTGGCTTTACATATGCCTATGTTTCATCCTCAGTGAGACTAAGCAAATGGGATCCTTTCAGGCTTTGTGAGTGAGAAAAGCAGATGTTTTCTTAACTGAGTGGGTACCTGACTTTTATTCATTTTATATAAACAAATAGAGGAGCAAGAGAAATCAGAATGCCGATGCTGAGTGATATGGGGTAGGGCCTGGAGGGAAGAGGCAGGGTTTTTTTGTTTTGTTTTTTTAATTCTTTTATTAGGCGCTCTTACATCTCTTATCACAATCTATACATTCCTCCAATGTGTCAAGCACATTTGCACATTTGCCGCTGTCATCATTTTCAAAGATTCTCTTCCCACATGAGCCCCTGATATCAGCTCCCCATTTCTTCCTCCTTCCTCCCCTGCCCACGCTCTCACGAACCCTTGATAAGTTATAGATTTTTTTTCCATATCTTACATCGTCCTCCATCACCCCTCCCCCACTTTTCTGTTGTTCGTCCCCCTGGGCAGTCCTGACCATTGTATTTGAGATAAATAAGTACCCTGTAGTTTGATCTTGAGTGTGAGGGTGAGTGTCTCTGCAGGCACATACTAAGTGTGGGAAGTATAGCTGTAAATCTTGTCTGCATCACTTAAAAACATTCATTGACCACCCACTACATACAGGGCCCAATACTAGGTGATGTATGTACATATGATGAGTGAAATTGTTTGACTAGTAATTACATTTATAAGAGAGGAAAAAAATGATTAAAACTCTCCTTTGATTGAAAAGACAAATATGCATCCACACTAATGAAGTAGGTGCCATTCTCAGATGTGGTACACCCTGCCATTGGCTATCTTTATATGGGTCCCTGGCCAGTGAGCTTGTCTGCTGGGGCACTCCTGTGCAGCCTTCAGCGCACTGCCAGCTGTCGGGCCTGGCCTGCTTTGCAGAGAGTTTCAAGTTGGGATCAGATGCTTGTGGGGCGTTCTTCTTGCTGCTCTTTACCAAAAGCCATCCTTCCGTTAAGAACTGTTCTCATCTCCTCCCAAAATGAAAGACAGGGAGAATGGCATGGGTTCTGGGTATAGACTACCTCTTGTGAGACGCATCCTTAAATTAGGACATGAAACTACCGTAATGTTTGCTAGACAGGTGCGTTCTGATGGGTAAAATGGGTCAGGGAGAAGCCCGGCTCTGCTGGAAAAGGATACTCACTGGCACTGATAACGCTTTTCATCATTGTATTGTTTTTAAGACTCAGTTTCTTTGTCTGTAAGACGGTGATGCTTGCCACCACCGCACTCATGTTCATTTAAGTGCCAGTCTTAAAGAGAATGCACTTACCTGTGGGAGTTGGCAGTGGTGTGTGCTGCTGCTGGTTCTGCCCACTACTCTGCCAGTGCTCAGGAGGGTCTCACTGGTTGCCACAGGTGGTCACAAGGCTCAGGGACCGTGGGTGCTAGCTACATGGAGGAACCGCGTGCCTTAAGCTTGCCTTGCGTTATGTGTCTAGTGGAGGGACTTCGGTGCAGGGCTGGGTGTGAGGCTTTATTGACCCTCAGATAAGTAAGCTGTTAAGCCGGTCCGATGTTGTCGTCTTCTGCTTTGCTACAGAGATTTTCAGAGCATTTTGGAATGAAAGCAGAAGTTAGCATTTAGGCCCACTTGGCCTAGATTGAATATTCTGGCCAGTGAATCACAAGACTGTCATGACAGGGTACTTTTTGCTCATGTGACTTCATGTCTGTCATGATAAAGATATAGGCAGCTCTTTAATTGGTGCAGTTGCAGTCAGAAGGAATCCTAGAGGTGATGTCAGGTAAGTGTTGGACTGCTAACCACAAGGTCAGTGGTTCAAACCCACCAGCTGAAAGTTGAAGCTTATCTATTCCCGTAAAAATTTACAGCCTCAGAAATCCTATGTAAGGTCACAGAGTCAGAATTGACTCAGTGGCAGTGGGTTTTGGGGGTTGCAGGATAGGGCTTGGAAATTCTGTTTTTCTAATAAAGTTAGTATCTAGCATCTCAATCCATTTGCACATACGCACAAAAAATCTGGATAACAATTATTCCAGCAAAAAGGTTTTGCTTTTTGCCCATGTTGTTGGTATGACTTGCCTTTGCGTCGGTTGCAACACATAGCTATCGTAAGCATGACAGAGCGAAACCTTGCCTGGTCTTGCATCAGCCTTACCGCCTGGCCTCTGAGCACATTGTTTCAGCCACTGTGTCGGTCCATCTCACAGGGGTTTCCCTCATCTTCACTCAACATGATGTCCTCTTCTGCAGTTGGTCTCTCCTGATGCTGTGTTCAAAGTAAGATGAAATCTATCATGCTTCTTAGAAGGAAGCACTCTGGCTGTACTTCCCCCAAGATAGATTGGTTCTACGCCACAGTTCAAATGTGAATGTGTCAGTATGCCTTTGATCTTCTTTTCATTGTCTCATTAATACCCTTGCTAAGCAGTTGGAAAGACTGGCTTGGGTCAGATGCACCTCAGTCATCGAAGTGAGCTCTTTTGAGCACTTTGGGCAAGGTCTTTTAATTGGCCCGCTGCACTGGTACATCATGTGATGTCTTGAGTGCTGCTCCCATGGCCATTGGTTGTGCATCCAAGTAGAACGACATCTTTAATAACTTCAGTTTCTTCCCACTTAACGTGATGTTGTTCATCGGTGCGATTATGAGGATTTTCGTCTCTCTGTTCCGATGTAAGGCATGTTACAGGCGGTGGCCTTCAGCAGGGACTGCGTCAGTTTGCTTCATTTTCATCAGGAAGGGCTATCACGGCATCTGCATGCAGGCACTGCCCGCAGGCTTCCTCCACTCTCGGTTCCAGTCTTCATGTGTGGCAACCCTGTGTACAACAGAACGACACGCCCCGTTCTGTGCCAGCCTTCAGTTGCTATGCCCAGTCCATCACTGCCCTTTTACTGTACTAAGCATGAGGTCCTTTTCCGTGGCCGTTCTCGCCTGATCACATGTCCAGAGCATGTGAGACGAAGTAGTCTTGTTATCCATGCTTCTAAGAATTCTGGCTGTACTTCTTCCAAGAGACCATGTGTTTGTTCTTTTCTAGTCTGCGGTACTTTCCATATTTGTCACCAGCACCGTAATTCATTGCATCTTTCTGTCTTCCTTATTCACTGTCCGACTTGCACATGCAGGTAAAGTGACTGAAAATACCATGACTCATAGAGTGACTTCTTTGCTCTTCTGAAGAGGTCTTGCCAGCTTTATTCAGCATAAAACATGAATAAATGACATGAAAGGGCACAACCCTGACACATGTTCCAGTTTTAGCCCACTCGGTGCCCGCTGTCCTCTGGTTTTCTCTCGACTCAGGTGCAGGTTTCACGTGAGCACAGTGAAATGTTGGGGAATTTCCATTCTTCCTAATACTATCTGTCATTGGTGATGAGGCCTTCCCACAGCCACAAAACCACAGGCATAAAAATCTATTTCGTTTCTCTGCATTCAGACAAGAGCTAGCTGACACAAATGGGCAGTCAGTTGTCCAGGTAGTTGTCTGACAAATTTCATGGCTGAGGCGACTAAGCCCTTCTAATGTTAACATCCATTTGCATGTGATGTTATCTCACTTGGTATTCCATCAACTCCTGGAGCCTGGATTTTTGTCAGTGCCTTAATTGCATTCCTTCAGGACCATGGGTACTTGGTGCTTTGCTAAACTCCTGAAACGGTTGAAAGCCAGACCATTAATTTTGGAACAGTGGCTCTGTATATTCCTCCTCCTCCTGTTTTTCGGTGTGGCTTCCTGTATCATTCTATTTTTTGACCACAGAATTTTTTAGTACTGGATTTTCTCTTTAGTTCTTTCAGCTTCAGATATGTCACTTGTGTTCTGTCCTTGGGGTTTTCTAACTTCAGGTCTTGTGCAAGTTTTATTATACTGTTTATCTTGTCGATTGGAGCTGCCCTTGTTCGGTTCTTCTACGTCATCATTTCTTGCACATGCCCGTGTGCTCAAGAGCAAGTCTCAGAATCTCCTGATACAGATTGTGGTTTATCCTTCTTGTGGTCTTTTTAATGACCCGCCGCTCTGGACGTCTTCTCATAACTCATGACCCTCATCAGATACCAGTGTGTCAGATCTATTTATAGATGACCCACAAATATAGGTGGGTTGTAATCAAGGTCACTTGACCTTTTTGTCCATTCTCTGCCTAAAACTAAGATGCTAGCTTTCTTAGATGTTAGCACTTGGTAGCGTCACTTTGCGCCCATCATACTTTGCCTCCCCAAACAACTGAACGTGACTGACTTGTAAGTTGACCTAGCACTGTAGAGCAACAAGGTAAATTAGGACAGGTTACTTGCCCTTAGAGGGCTTGGACTCACCAGAGTTACGATAATGCACCGTAATACATGCTTTGAGAACTAACACAGGATTATAGAGAAGATTCGAGTTAACCTTGCTGGGTAAGATAAAAACGGATAGTAATTCAGACTTCCCAGAGGTGACATTTGAGCTTTGCCTTGAAGGGTGATTTACAACTGACCCTTGTGCCAGGAGCCCCCTAATGCCTTGGTTGCTGAATCCTGCCTTTAAAGCTATGGTGGTGCCAGAGGCAAGGATGATGGCAGAGACAAATTAATTTGGCTTTATATGTAAACTAAATTAAACAGTAAGGGACTCATAAAGACGACCTTTTCAGGGAAAAAAATAATAATTCCTTTAAAGACCCACTAGGATATAGAAAACAAAGAAGTGGGAGAGGAGATTGTTTGCCCTTTCTCTGCCGTTTGGTGCTCTCTGGCTCTTGCATCAGTAAAACAGTTGTAAGCACTGTACCTGCGCATGATGTCGGCTTTTCAAGTCATCTGTGGCTCTTCTGCATGTGTGTCGTTGGCGGAGAGCACGGAGGAAGACTGGAGCCCCTGGCTTGATCAGACTGTTTTTGTCCTGGTTTTACTTGCAGGCATAGTCGAGTGCAATGGAGGAGTGGCCGAAGAGGAGGAGGTGGAGGTCATTCTTGCACAGGAGCCTGCTGCTGATCAGGAAGTACCGAGGGACGCCGTCTTGCCTGAGCAGTCCCCAGGAGAATTTGACTTTAATGAGTTCTTTAACCTTGATAAGGTGCCGTGCTTGGCTTCGGTGAGTGTAGCAGCCCATGCACACGGATAGAGTAACTTTACTGTTAAATTGGACCTGGGTCGTTGCGGGTTGTTTTGGTAGATACTTTGGGATTGGGTGTTTTGTTTTGTTTGACATTTATTCTTAAACTATCATTTGAATTTGTGTTGGCTTTGATTGGAAAGGTTTCCTGTAAATGATTGAGAATTTTGACCTAGCTAACTTTTTTGCCAGGCTGGTGACTGAACTAAAATCTCTTCAGGTGTTTCAGAACACTGTCTGCTTGTTTTGGTGTGAAGGAGTTTAAGTATTGTTGTTAAGACTTTCTGTGGCATTGGCATTTATAACTGGCCATTAGTGTTAGGCTAGCCTGCATCGCTTGGGTAAGGCTGCTTGGTGAAGTGGTTTCTTTTGTGGTGTGACAGTTTCAAGAACCTTTGATGAAAGGGCTTGAGATATTATTGGTGTTGCCATTTAATTCTTGAGGTCTAGTCTTTCTAGCGTTTCAAAACAGACCTAGTTAGCCCTCCTCAAATCTTCACTGCGATCTGCCCTAGCTCCTGTCCCCTTCAGACATTTAGGGATTAGCATATTAGAAAAATTTTGGAGATGATTTGTAAGTAGAACCTTTGCACACAAAAATAAGGTTTTCTATGGTTGGTGAAAGAGTGCGTGGAGCTCTGTGACAATTTAAAAATGACTTGACCAAAAAAATCTGTATGCTCCAGATATCCTAATGTAAAGGAACATTAGCTAGAGCAAGTGAGTTTGACTGACCCCCGAGTGTCCATGGTTCATAGGAGTTGGCTTAAATTCCAGTGTTCCATCACTACTCTTTCTTAGATTCCTGCATGCACAGACAAAACTGGACCTGAGAGCAGACAACATTGGACTGTCTCCCATATTTGACTATTCCCCAACCTCCAAAAACTCGCCACAAAGAGTAGGTGAATAGGCAGTGTGTAACCCTGATAGGTCAGGGTCACAGGTGAGTTCTATAGCAGTGCTTCTCACATTCTCTGTTGTGAGCAGCTGGGCTTCTCTCTTGCCAGTTGATTGAGAACCTGTATATTAGTAAACACCAGTATTACAGCAGTGCTGAATTTCTGTAGGTACCCTAAACATTCAGTTACTTTCTGAACTTAACCTCAAGGTGGACCTGCATAGTTTGAGACCACAATTTTGTGTAGCACTCTTCAGGAGTACGTGGAATGTGGTCCTGCAGGAGTTGGGGCAACTGTCACTCAGTTTTGTTCCTAAAATTCTAGTATAGATCCACTGAGTCAAGATTTCTAAGAAGCAACTTTAATTATAATTGCCTCGCCAATAATCTCTTATCCATTTACATCACTCCAAGCTGAAGGGGCCCACCTGAATGTGAGTTTATTTATCTTGGTGTAAACTGAGTGTCCCCTCAAAAACTGGGCCTCTGAGTAATTATTTATTTTTACAAATAAGGTGTGGTGCAGCAGTCAAAGTGTTGACTGCGAACCGAAAGGTTGGTGGTTTGAATCCATAAGCAGCTCTGCAGGAGAAAGATGTATCCATCTGCTTCCATAAGGATTACAGCATGGAAAAATGAATGGGGCTGTTGTACTCTGTCCTACAGCAGTGGTTCTCAACCTCCCGAATGCCGCAACCCTTTCACACGGTTCCTCATGTTGTGACCCCCAAACCATAAAATTATTTTCGTTGCTACTTCCTCACTGTCATTTTGCTACTGTTAGGAATCGGGCAACCCCAAAGGGGTTGCGACCCACTGGCTGAGAGCTGTTGTCCTATAGTTCCGTGAGTCAAAATCAACTCAACAGCACTGGATTTGGGGTTCTTCGGTGTAGTGGGGTTTTTGGGTAGTGGTTAAATTTTTTTTTTCTTTTTTAACCTTACATAGTGGCAGAATACTGATGGGGGATTCTATTGTACAAAGGCACTACAGCAGAAGGCCCAAATGTAGAGAGGCCTGTACTAGGCTCTAAACATGAACAGAAGTCCACAAACCCGCTGAGGAAACAGGCACAGGATGTTTCAGTAACTTGCACAGTCACACAGCTAGTGAGTGGTAGGAACGGAATTTTTTATGCACTTTCAAATTAAGTGTTTCCATTAACGCCCACAGCGAGACACTGAAACAGAGAGGAGCAGGAACTATCCTTTGGCCCCTACTCCCCACTAAACCTTAGTTCATACTGAGTGTAAGGGTTTAGGCTGTGTTTTCATAATTTTTTATGATAGGTCCACTACAAAAAAACTGGATCAATTTAAAAAACACTTTGTGCTAAGTAGCAGTGAACACTAATACAATGTTCAGTAAACAATTAGGGAAATTAACATGTCTGTATAGGGCTTGAATATTAATAGGTGAAGTTTTTAGAATAGTGTGTAGCCCTTAGTAAGCTCTATAAATGTTTAATACTAATAAACATAAACGGAACTTTATATCCAAACACTTTCTTTGTATGTATAAAAACTTGAGCACATTGTACTAGCCACAAAGGAAATTTCAAATATCCATACTGTATTTCATTATTTCATTCACATCACGCAACTCTGGCTTCTGGGTGTGTTCTAGGGACTGAAATTATAGGAACAAAGTTCCTGTCTCCATAGAGCATACAATGAATGAGTAAGTTTAAAAAACAGCAACTTAAAAACCCACTGTTCTTAATTAATTCGAATTCCTAATGACCTCAGAGAGCACAGGCCTGTTCGCTAGGGCTTCCAAAGCTGTAACTCGTCACAGGAGCAGGAAACCTCTTCTTTCTCAGCTGTTAGGTTCACACTGTTGACCTTGTGGTTAGCATTCCAATGTGTAACCAACTACACCAGGCACCTCAAGTGAGTACAACCGAGGTATTGCTACTAGAGTTCCTTTTTCACACTTCAGGGTAGGTCTTGAAATTTTCCTTTTGATGGTGGGTGAAATGCCATTCCTCTTGTAGCTGTCATTCTTGGCATAGTAAGCCATTTGATTTTCTGATTCAAAATGGTCAATACCAGTCCATTTCAGCTCACTAATGCCCACAGCTTGGAATTCCTCTAGGTTCCTACATTGTACATTCCAAATTCCAAATATTAATAGATACTCGTAGCTGTTTCTTGTACCGCGGACTACCCAAAGAACAAAGAAATCTGTCTCAAGAAGGATAGCCATAATGTTCCTTAGAAGCAAGGATGGCGAGACTTTGTCTCCTGGACGTGGGACATGTTACGAGGAGAGACTTGTCCCTGGAAAGGACAGCATGTGTGGTAGAGTAGAGGGGCAGCAAAAATAAACAAGACTTGACGAAACGCTTGGCACAGTGGCTGGGACAATAGGCGGAAACATAACACCTGTGAGGAGGGTGCAGGAGCGGTGGGCTGGCTCTGTTGTTCATACGGTCAGTATGGATCAGACCTACTAGATAACACCTAACACGAGGATTCCAGTTCATGCGTGCATAGATTCATTCCAGACCAAACACGGCTTAACCACGTCTCTGAGATCAGTGGGTGGCTGCAGAGTATTCTCTCAGTCATTATACTTGTCTTCACCTTGCTAAAACCAAAAATCTGTCATCGAACTGATCTGTCTCATAGCAACCCTGTAGAACAGGGTAGAACTTTGTTTTTAAGATGATAATTCTTTATAGAAGCAGGGAGCCTGTCTTTTTCTTCCAGAGTGGCTGGTGTTTTTGAACTGCTAATGTGTTTAGCAACCCACTGTGTAACTGCTGTACCACCAGGGCTCCTGATTTGATCTCATTAAGATGCCTTAAAAGTAGGGGTGTGTGTGTGTGTACACGCACGCTAAGATCAAAAAATCGTTTTGCAATCAGGAATAATTCTGCATTTTAAAATAAAACTCCAGTGAACATCTTCCCAAATCATTGAAGCTTTGCAACAAAGCCAGAAGAATCCTTCCTCACATAAAACAAAAGTATGGATCAAACAATTTAAGGAAGGTCAGAAAGACCTCAGAGATTAACCAGGAGAGTGTAGACCATCAGCCTTGAAGCTGAAGCTCATGGTAATCCTGGAAGAAGAGCATAGGATTAGCCTTGATGTCTTAGTTACTGACGTTGAGATCCCTTTCCATTTGACGAGAACATCTTGGCCTCAGCAAAGTTTTGGGTGCCAAAGTGTTGCAGGAAAATGGGCTAACTCAAAGGGCTGATCTTCCCATCAGCCCTTTTCAAGTGTGTGGGGTGGAGGGGGTGTGGAATCCGAACAGGGTGTTCTGGGTGGGCTTTTCTCACAGTACAGGACAATCATGGGGCCTTATTACGAAGTTTTTAGAAAACTGAAAGCTGCATTGGTGCCAGGAAAGGTGCCCTGAGGAATGTTTTCCTCTCATGGCAGTGCCCCCGAGCATTCGGCAAGGGCAACAAGGGCTGTCCTACAGGAATTCCTTTAAGGAACCCTTACGTCATCCACCTTACAACTTGGCTCTTGTCCCTTCAGGGTTCTTTTTTTTTTCTTCCTAAAACCATTTTATTAGGAGCTAATCCAGATATCATACCCTTTCATAGTTTAATCTTGTCAAGCAGTGCTATACATTGGCTACCAAAATCAGTTTCGAAACATTTCTTCCTCCTCGAACTCCTTGATATCAGCTTCCCCTTACCCCTCCTCCCCTCCCTGTACCCTGCAAGGACTCTTATTCCAGTTGTTGTCTTTATCGATTGACCTCTCCTGGGTTTCAGATACCAAAAAACATAGAAAAACACATAGCAAAGAGTCAAGAAACCTGCCAACAATGACAAAATACAACAGTTAAATCCCAATATTAAAAAATAAAGAAAATATTAAAGACCTGAGCAAGCCCAAAGTATATCAGATGGGAGATCAAGTAAGAAGGTTTTAACCGTTCAAGTCAAATGTATCATTTTAGTCTACTATGGTCTCCTCTCCAATACTCTCTGTCTGATAGCCAGGTTATTTCCTTCCCTCATTATGGTTAGAAGGAAATCACCAGAGACACTCCTTGTGTAGATCCTTCAAATGTATTTTGGGCTTCCACTGCCAGGATCACCAGTATCTCACAATTTAAGCTTTCATACTAATCCCTCCTTCAGATTTGGATTATATAATTTACAATCCTTGTATGGTGGATTTAGTTGAAGTCTCAACTTAGATGGCTGCTCGTTTGGATACACAAGCTTTTAAGAACCCAGATACTATTCTATTTGACAGCCAGGCACTAGATAACTTCTCCACCACTTTGCTATAGCACCCATATCTTCTGTGTCCCTTCCTGAGGAGCAGGGCCATGTGGTCAGAACTAATTGTGCTTAGATTGGAGCTAGGATTAAGTGCAAGCCCAAATTCCATTACTGGATCTGTTTTTTTATCTGCCTCTGGCTCACCTTAGAGACATCCTTGTTAATTTATGATAGGGAAATCTTGTCTTATCTGCCTGTAGCCTAAGGATCTTCTGTATATAGTGTTCTTAATTATCCCATGGTACAAACTTTGGAACACTTTTGAGAGAAGGAAATGGAACATGTATAAACTACATATAGCAACACCTGCATCATTCACTTGTACAGAATAAATCCTTAAGTGACTGGACACTACTTGCACAAACAATAGGAGTTGATGGTCAGGCAAAACTTAAAATAATTTTCACTAACAATGTCAATCACAAGTATGCCAGAATAGTGCATGATACAGCAAGTAGGGCATTGGAGTAGTAAGTAAATGTTAATCTGCCTACCTTGATTAAGGTGCACGACTCTTGATACAGTGGTCTGCTACTGCTTCACACACCATGTTATTTCAGTCTTAAGTCCTCAGATTACAGGTGTGTTTGAGGTAAAACCTAGTTTACCTTATGGGGTTTCCACATCATAACCTTTTGTTTCCAAAACTCAACATTTGAAAGGAACAGAATTTAAACCCCGTAAGAATACCTGAAACTGCCATTTTGACTTGGTATAAACAGGAGAACACGGAGTTCTTTGGCAAACGGTTAGAAAACACGAAAACACTGCCTTTAGGAGCACATACTCCTAGATGGAGGCAATGACAAGAAACAGCAGTTCCATGTTTTGATATTTTTGTTTAATTAGAGGTTTCTGTGGCTTTGTAGGGGCAGTTCTCTGTCCCATACGAGCTCACTATAAGTCAACTGACTCAATGGTCATGAGATTTTTTTATGGTTTTATAGCAGTGCTTATGACTTATGTAGGCTAGATTTATGTGCACTGTATGTAATACATTAGAAATCGAAAAGTTGCCAGCTTTAAAGAGCTATTCAAATTGAATACTTGAATGAATATAAATAATGTCCATTAAAGTACTTAAAAAAATTTTTTTTTGATATGAAACAGCGCAGTACGATACCTGGCATATAACTAGTACTTAAATAGAAAGGAAATCAAAATAGAAAAACTTAATTTTTAAAAGCAATCTATGGGAACGTGACAGAAAACGTTGGTAATGTAATCAAAAGTAAGCTTAGGAGACTGCTGCTTTGCCTTTTGGCTAAGCAACCAAACCCAGACTCGTTTCCATTGCATGTCAGTGCCGACTCAAAGCGACCCTGTAGAATCGTTTCTCTGCGTTTCTGAGACTACTTTCTGGGAGTAGAAAACCTCCTCTTTGCTCCTCCGAGCTGGCTGGTGGCTTCAAACTGCTGAACTTAGGGTTAGCAGCCCAACATGTTTTGGCTAAGATCAAATGTAAAAGTATGCTCAGAAGAAAATGTGTAGCCTGAAGTGCATTCATTAGATATCTTTTTTAAAAAATGAACTAGAATGAAACAGCAACAATGTAGACATTCCCATAAAAGGACAAAGTAATAAAAGAAAACAAGCATTGATCAGTAAAACTATGACATTACCATAAGGGAAAATGTATTTCAGTGTATCAGAATGATAGGAATCTGAAAATTGCATCTATACACCTTTATTTAAAAGACCAAAGTAGTAGCCAGAGGTTACCTTAAAAAATGCCACTAAGCATCTAATAAGGGCAACTGAAACACCAAAATAGAATTCACAGGCTCTTCTTCTCCAGGAAATAAGTATGGAGCTGAGGATACTCTGGCCCAAAAGTCTCAACTTCCTGTACCCAAGGTGCTAGGGGAAGGCATTGCTGCTATGGGAGTCAAGTTTGCCCATTTGTAAAAGTGAGCATTGGCTAGACAAAGTCATAAGACTCATTTCCCATGGAAAATACTGCGGTTTAAATTGGCATTCCTTCACATATGCATAAACTTAATTTTGAGTTTACCACTCTCGCTGTATTTTAGCTATAATGAAATTTGGCTTCTGGGGCACTTTCAAGTAAGTGTTGGAGGGCTAATTACAAGGTTGGCAGCTCAAACCCACCAGATGCTCCTCAGAAGGAAAACGAGACTGCCTGCTCCAGTAAAGACTTACAGCTTTGGAAATGCTCTAAAGGGTGATTATGAGTGTGATTTGACTCGATGGCAGTGTGTTGAGTTTACTACCACAAAGTATGTTGGTCACTCATTTAAATATGGAAATGACTTTATATTTACTGTGGTATTTCTAGAAAATGTTCGTCTACATTTTACTTTTGTCTTTGCATTCTTAAGTTTTTTCTGTGTCCATACTTTTTTCCTCTATACAATATGACCAGAGGAAATACAGGAAGTTAAAATGCAAAGCCATTCATTTTGTTATTTGTAAAAGTTCATACTTTTAACAATAAAGTATATCAGCTATAGCTTTCAGTTATTTCTAATTCTGTTTCAAATCACCAAAGTAGAGATATTTTGAGTACAATTCCCAGTTTTTCAATCTGAAGCACCGTTCGTGGTGTTTTTTAATACTTTGTGGAGTACTGTTATTCCTAAATGAGTGTGTTGAGAGCCTTGCTTAGAGTCCACAAGTGACGTGGACTGAAGCTGCCTGAAGCAGCACCTGAATGAGCATCTCGAGTTCACATCCCTAGATCGAGTGTTCAGTATCGTTCTTTTGTGGCTCCGTTTAGGTTGCAGGTTATAAAAACTGCCAAGTGAAAAAGAATAAATCTAGTCTATTATTGGTGAAGTCTGACTAGAGACCGTGGGTTCTAGATTTTAGTTACAACAAAGTCACTGACTCGTGTCAACTTTTGTCTTTAAAAAAAAATGCTCTCTGTTTATTAGTTGATAGAGAAATGAGACAAACAAGTCTACGCCTTAATTTTGAACTGGCATCTGCTTTATCTTGTCTTTTTAAAATGTTGTTAAATTCAGACTTACTGCCATCAAGTCGATTCTGACTCCTCGCGACTCCATGACACAGTAGAACTACATTTCCCCGTGAGTTCCCAAGGCTAACTCTACAGGAGTAGAAAATCTGGGCCTTTTCTTGGGAGTGGCTGGTGGTTTCAAACTGCTAACCTTATGGAATAGCCCACAGGTAGCCATTAGGCCACCAGGGATCTCGAAATGTTGATGAAAGTGCTGCATAAGATCAGTTTGGCTATTTAACTGGATTTATGGTAGGGCAGAATTGAAAATTCATGGGGTTTTTTAAAGCTTAAATGCAGCTTTTAAAGCTGAGTAATGAATTAATTCTATTACAAGCTAATAGTATTGATTAAATTGCTTCTGATCATAGTTTATCAGTGAATTGCTCTTATTAAATCTGGGGGGGAAATGGGAGTTCCGTTTAAAAATAAAAACACCCGAAGCTTCCCATTAACTTCAAGAAGAAATTAGAGATCACTTTAAGGTTCATCTTTGACATGCTGTCCCTTAATTTGGCTGCTGAAATCGGTAAGGCTTGAGTTCTAGGTTGAAGTAAGAGGTTTTTTTACAGGGACCCTTTAAGGCCTAAACAAGGAATTTTGTTTATCAGCCATTCATCATTGCACTAGCTGTGGAATTCTTCACTGTGGTGCTAATTTTTATTCTGAAACTATGTCCCCGGAGAGCCCTTGGGAGCCAATGGGTTTTCTGATGAGGCACAAAGAATTTTAAAAAACCAACTTTGTGTTGTGGCAACTTCATTACTTTCCACGGTTAGAAGTACATGGTTGGGTATCCTCATGTTTGGGTTACTCGGAATGACCCAGCGCAGGAAGGGTTGGGTATCCTCATGTTTGGGTTACTCGGAATGACCCAGCGCAGGAAGGGTGCGGGTGTTTGTAAAAATATTCATGCCAATGGCCTCCAAGGAAGTTTCAAAGTGAGTGAGTGACCCTTTCCCAAGACTGGATGCTTCTTGTTCTCCTTACATAGAGACTGTCTTAGCTTGGTTTATCTTTCCCTGCAGATGATAGAAGATGTTCTAGGGGAAGGGTCCGTCTCGGCCAGCCGCTTTAGTAGGTGGTTTTCTAACCCCAGCCGATCAGGAAGCCGGTCCAGCAGTCTTGGGTCAACACCACATGAAGAACTGGAGAGACTTGCAGGTAAAACGACATCAGGTTCTACTTTGGCTGTGAACTTGACCCTTTCTGACATGATTATGTACTCAAGTATAAGCTTACCCGAATATCAGCCGAGGCACCTAATTGTACCACAAAATCTGCATTAAAAGTGTGCTGGAAAACTTGCCTTATACACGAGTATATACGGTATATTCATTAGGGGTCAATTCCAGTCAAAGGGCCTCTTGATTGTGAAAACCCTACTTTGTGTCCTCTTAATGCATTGCTTAATTGGAACCAATTAATTATGAGTATGTGTGTCACACTAGGTCTGGAGCAGGTCATCCTCTCTCCTGCACAGAACTCGGGGAATTACTTTGCTCCTATACCATCAGAAGATCATGCTGAAAATAAAGTGGATATTTTAGAAATGCTACAGAAAGCCAAAGTGGACTTAAAACCTCTTCTCTCCAGCCTTTCTGCAAATAAAGAAAAGCTTAAAGAAAGCTGTAAGTATTTATGAGCATCTGTTTTAGGTACTTGGAAAAGCTTGAATGTTCAGGCTTTTAAGCAGTTTGGTTAGCATGCTGCAATATCATCAGAAGTCGAATTTATGAGTGTTCAATGTTCGTACTAGAAGCTCATTTTATCAAATAATACCGCCTCTTTGGAGATCTGATCGCTGTTCTTCAAAGTTCATTTTCTCACTTTGAGCTTGTTTGTAATATAGTAGTGCCTCCCCAAATTCATGGTTTCAGTTACCCAAGCAAGACTAACACGATCCAAAAAGCATAGCCCAGTGCTGCAGGATTTGGATGCCTGCCCTAGACCTGAACACCATCTCCAGAGGACTCATAAGGCGCAGCTCCACGTGGACCTGGTCCTGCGGTCTCCTGTGGTTGTTAGGTGCTCTTGACACAGTTCCGGCTCATAGGGTTGCATGTACAAGGGGAAACAACGTCCCCAGTCCTGCGCCGTGTCAGTCCGTCCGTCTCGTTGAGGTTCCTCTTTCTCACGGTCCCTCTCCAGTCCAGGCCCTCCTTAGAACATAACCAAGTGAGACAGTCTCACCACCTCACTGTGAGGAGGACTCTGGCTGTGCTTCTTTACAGACAGGCTGGCTGGTTCTTTTGACTGCTGTTTCCAGGGATATTGATGGGGGGGGGGGTCTCACACATTTCATTGAAAAATAGAACGACAGGCTTTTCAAACATTTGAATGGAATTTTGGGGGGAATTTGAATGAAATTTCCCTTTTTAATCCAAATTTTGTAAACGGAGGGAAAAGAGATGGAATTTTTTCATGAGTCTTTTCAAGTTCCCTCAAAATAAAATCTAGTCATTTTAGGTTTGGTGTTTGCCACTTAATTAGAAAGTACAGAATTCTAAACTTGTTCGGGCTGAGTACTTCTAGATTTTTAACTACCTTCACTTTGTCTATTATTAATGTTAGCCTATTCTGACAGCCTTGCTTTTAGCTGTACGATAAAGTATTTGTACCTTGACCATAATGGTAGCCAGGGAGAATTTCTACCGAATTATCTTTTGTTGGACCTAATTTGGATTTTTTTCAACTTTTCAGCACATTCAGGGGTTGTGCTCTCAGTGGAAGAGGTAGAAGCAGGGCTCAAGGGCTTGAAGGTGGACCAGCACATGAAGAATTCAACTCCTTTCATGGCAGAACATTTAGAGGAGACCCTGAGTGCTGTAACAAGCAACCGGCAGCTCAGAAAGGACGGCGATATGACTGCATTCAACAAGCTAGTGAGCAGCATGAAAGCAAGCGGGACTCTGCCCTCGCAGCCCAAAGCCAGTGTGAGTGTGCGCTCAAAGCCAGCCTTTCTCCTTCCCTCCTTCTCTTCAACGCTCACCGCCACAGGGAGACCTCAGAGGTGTTCTGTCTACGCTGGGGTGCTTCAGCGCTCATTTAGTCCTTGAGACTTTCCTGTGCCCTTAATTATTGCCATGCTGTTTGCCACCAGAACAAGCCAACTTATGGTTGATATGTATGTACTGCGACGGTATAAACATTAGGTATAGAATTATCTAAAATCACTGCCTAAAAAGACATAAAAATATCTTCAAGATGATTCAGCTACATAAATTCACAATATTTTTTAATCATTTTATTGGGGACTTGTACAATTCTAATCACAATCCATACATACACCCATTGTGTCCAGCACATTTGTACATTTGTTGCCATCATCATTTTCAAAACATTTGCTTTCTACTTGAGCCTTGGTATCAGCTCCTCATTTTCCCCCTCCCTCTCCACTCCCCCTTCCCTCCCGAACCCTTGATAATTTATTAATTTTTTTTCATGTCTTAGGCTGTCTGATGTCTCCCTTCACCCACTTTTCTGTTGTCCATCCCCCGCTAATTCTCAATATTTTTATAGTAAACACACACCTTCTCTGAATACCTGGAATTGCCTGTGTTTAGATTAGATAGATGGCTGTCACACAATGTCATTTCTAAGGCATCTAAGGTGAATTTTTGAAGACAAAAACCATTCTATTAATTTAAGAATGATGAAAGTTGTGACTCCATGCATTTAAAATGTTTTTCACACGTGAAGTTGGGTTACAGCATGTGTGGGTTACAACATAGGATCTTTGACATGACTACCAGAGGTGGCTCTCAGCCACGTGCCCTATGTGTCACTATCACCATTTTTGTGGCAGCTACATTGTAGCAGATTGTCTAGTGAGCTTTGTCCTTTCCCTGCCCCTCTGGCACTTTTTTGTTTGGAAGCCGGAAGTTAGCCAAAAAGTGAATCGCAATACCTGTTGGCCTCCTTGTGCCTTGTGCCAAGGGAAGGCAGTTGAGTTTGACTTGCCTCATTTGATCAACAGTTGGTAATGGAGATTTCAACCTACCTCGCTCAGACAGCTGTGCCTTTATTCCTGGCCTTAATACTAGCAGCAACAACCATTTACAGTGAACCCTCGCCACTTCGCGCTTCGACTTCCGCGGCTTCACTCTATCGCGGTTTTTGCGTAACAGCGCATGCTCTGTCATTACTGCCACTGATTGGCTCATACTATACACGCTTGATGCCATAAATAATATAATAAATAATAAATGATAATTGTAACGTCCAAAATGTTTTACTGTATTTTCCCTTTTTCGTTTAATAAATTGGGTAATACGAGTGTAATGGTGACTAAAGGGTGTTTTTTCATGTCCTCTATGCTCTAACTACGAAAATATTTGATTTACAAATAAGGAATCCTACTTCACGGAATTTCATTTATCACGGTAGGGTCTAGAACCGATTAACCGCGATAAACGAGGGTTCACTGTACCTCAGAAAAGAGACATCTGGTTCTGAAATAGATCTTTATGTCTTTAGATCTGACCACAGTTACAAAGGAATGTCCTTGCATATTGCCCACACAAAGACCTGTTAGATAGAAATACTCTTCAGTGAAGACCAGAATATGATTGTAAAGTATTCTGGCCTTTGTGGCTTGGTAAATGGGTGCTGATTGCTAGCAAGTAGCATCTTTCTTAATATCAGTGACTAAAACAAGGGCACAAGCAGTTTGCTTCTTGAAACTTTTGAAAATGTGTGACCCTAAATTGTGAGCGTGACTATTTTGAAGTTGGGGTTTCGATGCTCTCCAGGATAGGTGGGAGGAGAATGAACCTCAAGGGGATGGCTGGTAAAACGCAAGTTGCTGTTCGTAGATAAGCACAAACCCAACTTCACCTATGAACGAAAGCAACAAGGAAATTAATGTAACAAGTGCACAGGCATTTTCCTAAACAATTGTCTGATTTGCATGCTGTTCACAAAGTCCTGGTCTCCTTCAGTGTCTTTAGTTTCTGCTGTGTATGTGTGTGTCTTTTTGTGTGTGTGCTATTTATGATCTGTCTCCATTAAGGTTTAATTACATTATGTCATCCCCAAATCGGACATATTGGTTCAGTCTAAACTCTACTTCAGTTGTAATTGTCGATGTCATCCTCCCAGTATATAGTAAGCCATGTGGTTTAAAGATAGAATTAAATGACTCTTGAAGTCCTCTCTTATTAAAATCATCAGCATTTAGTTCCATTTCCAAACGAGCAATCAAATACTTGGTAAACTTTGTTCTGTTTGTAATGCCCAAGGGAACTGGCAGAAAGCACTTCAGGCAGAGCTAAGTGGGCTCAGGGTTGGGTCCTGAAGTATATGAGAGAGTGCAAAGTTAGGAGCAGAATGCTGCTGAGTGAGGAGTAGAAGTAGAAGAATTTTGCCCTGCTTGTCAAACCCACTTTGAAACAGCTTTTTACGAAAGAACAAAGCTTAAATTCCCCGACATCTAAAACTTGAAAATGTAACAACTTTAAGTTAGACATTGCACATTGTGTACCAGGTTCTGTAGTCCCATCTGTGCACTTCAAACATTGCTAGGATTGCCTCAAATTAAAATGTAAATGATAAGATTTCCTACTTGTAGCTTCTTACAACATCGATGGTTTCCTATTGTTGATTGGGTGGTTTTGTTTTGTTTTTGCTGCCTCCTTTTTCATTGGAAACAGTAAAACAGCCCAGGATAAGACCAAGTCTGATGGCCTTTGCTCGCTCGAGTCTCTCATCCCTAGTTCATGTGGATAAGCAAGTAGAACAAGTTACTAGTTTTGTGTGACTTGAACATCGTAATGCTATTAAACGGCAGCTCCTGGGGTGGAAGTGGAGGTTGTACTTCTTGTGGCCCCCGATTCATCTAGAAATTAAGTATGTAAGAAGGTTAAAACCAGTTATCCCTTTACTTTTTAGCGAAACCTTGAAAGCCATTTGATGTCCCCTGCTGAGCTTCCAGGCCAGGCTGTCCCTAAGAACATCCTCCAGGTACTTCACAGTCTTCTAATAAGACCTTACAGTCCTGTACTCTAGGGAGTCCTTTGACTCCGTGTGGGGGTGGTCCAGATTTGGGCCTTAGAAAATGAATTCTTGCCTGGCAAGGGAGGATCTTGGCTGCATGGGATCTCAATTGGGAGGGTGGCCAAAAAAATAGGATTTCTTGTTGCAGGTTTGCAATTTCTCTGGGACATAAATATAAAGCTGTGTTTGTGGTGTTAGCCTCAAGTAAATGCTGCTCGCTGAGCTCTTGGGTACACATCTTATCCCTCAGTGGAACGTGAGGGAGGCTCATCTGTAAACGAACAAAAAAGTTACTCATCATCCATAATCACAACCTCTTGATTGGGAAGGAGAACTAGGTTTATTCACATAAATCATGCTTTTCTGCTTTCAGGAACTTCTGGGTCCACCAGTTCAGAGACCGGCTTCTTCTAATCTTCTGAGTGGCCTGATGGGGAGCTTGGAGCCTACAGCATCTTTACTGGGCCAAAGGGCACCCTCTCCTCCCTTGTCACAGGCATTTCAAACTCGAGCAGCCTCGGCAGACTACCTTCGCCCTAGAATATCTTCACCAGTGGGTAAGCAGCCTTGTGCTAAAGACCTCTTCCGCCTCTCTATTGTCTGCCTTTCCCACCCTGAGCAAAGGTTGTAGTTGTCCTGTACAACGGGCAAGGCCTTTTTTCCTTTTATGAAACATCTTTGAAGAATTTGAAAGATGTCCAGGAAAAAGGTGTTTGTAAGGTTTTTTTGTGTGTCCCCCCCCCCTCCCCCCCACTGTGGGAGAAGGTAGGTGCTTCATGTTTGTGAGGCCGGAAGACCAGTGAGAATTATCCAGCTGCCCTTCTACACTCGGATGTTCGTGTGGTCCATGGTTTCTCCCCGAGATTGCTCTAGATTGGATCTAGCACTCTAGCTATAGAATTTTGGAAATTAAATAAAAAGTTAATCTGACTTCCTAGATTTTTCCTTAAGCGTAGAGGTAAGCGGCATGCCTGTGTACCTCACTAATGAAGTTGTTGGGCACTCAACTCTGAGAGGTTATTTAAACAGACCCATGGCTACTATTTGGAGCCCTGATGGTTTCGTGGCTACATGTGCTGATAATCACAAGGGTGGAAATTCAGAAACACCAGCTGCTGTGAGGAGTAAGAAGAGGCTTTCTAGTCGTGTGAAGAGTCAGTCTCGGAAACTCACAGGGGCAGTTCTACCTGCCCTATAGGGCCCTGTAAGTCAGTCGACTCAGCGGCAGTGAGCTTTGTTTTTGATGTGCTGCCTAATTTTACTGTGGCCGAAAATAGGCACTTTTCTTTTGGTGGATGCAAGAGGACCAATGAGAATTATAATTTAAGGAGCCCTGGTGGCATAGTGGTAAACATTGGGCTGCTAACCAAAAGGCCAGCAGTTTGAAACCACCAGCCACGCTGCGAGAGAAAGAGGAGGCTTCCTGTGAAGAATAAGAGTCTCGGAAACTCACAGGGTAGTTCTGCCCTGTTCTGTAGGGTCACTGTGGGCCTACAGAATCTGTTTTAGGGTTTTTTTGGTGGTGGTTACATGTTGATCAGATGCCCACAAGGTCAGCAGTTTGAAACCACAGCTGTTGTAGGAGGAAGACCAGGCTTTCGATTCCCGTGAAGAGTCGGGGCTGCTCTGAGTCAGAATTGCCGCGGTGGCAGCGAGTTTGGTTGGAGAGTTGGCGGCCAGCACAGTGCCGGCAGAGTGGGTTGGGTTGTGAGTTGGCTTGTGAAGCTGCAAGGCCAGCAGTGCCAGCCCCCGAGCTGCTGCACGGGAGGCAGAGGGAGCTCTCCACTCGTGCGGAGAGTCTCAGTCTCCGAAACCCACGGGGTCGCTTCTGCTCTGGCCTACAGGGTCACTGGAGAGTTTGCGCCTGAACCAACTCATTGGCAATGAGTTCAGGTGTTTTCTTTTGTTCGTTTGGAGTTTGGTGTCCCTGTGGGTTAGAGGTTTTGTTTTCTGGTGTCTGGTGGCCCTGTGGTTAGGCAGGGGACTGCTTACCTCAAGGTTGTTGGTTCAAACTCCCCATGAGCTGAAGATGAAGTGTCTGCTCCTGGAACGGTTTACGTACAGTCTTGGAAACCCTGGGGAGGCTCACTCCTAGTTGGAATTGACTGGATGGCAGTGGATTTTTGTTCAGTGGCTAATTTGGAGCCCTGCTGGCACAGTGGGTAAGTGTTTAGCTGCTAGCCAGAAAGTCAGCAGCCCAATGCCACCAGCCACTCGGGAAAGGTTCTCTTTCCGTAAGGACTTAGTCTTGGAAACCTATGGTTCTGCTCCATCCTCAACAGTAGTGGATTTGGTGTGGGCTTTTGGTGGCTAATTCAGAATGTGGCATGAGAAGCACGTCCTAGAAAGTAGTCTTGGCAAAGAGACTTGTACAGAATCTCCTAGGCCTTGCTGCACCACTTTCAGCTGCCAGCTGAGCTGACCTTGGCCGGTCATCCATGCAGAGTGAGTGTTCGAAATCTCCCCAGAAAAGGGAGGCAAGTGAAGAGTGCGTGAACCGCAGAGTACCGTCTCTGCTTTGGTACCAGCCTTTCGGGTGATAACAGGTCAAGCCGCTGCCGAGAGAAGCGCTTTCTCTCCAATAGAGGTCTCCACTTCGTGGGGGGTAGAATGGGGGGGGCAGACTCACCAGCACTCGGTCAAAGTGGTTGAGACCGTGCGGCACGGCACAAGAGCCCGGGGAGTAGTCGTGGTTTCCAGAAAGAGCTGGTGTGCAGTAAAGAGCAGCAACGTGCATCAGTGATAGCGTCTCTCAGGATGACACTCACAGGTCCTGTAACTTTCCCAACAGGTTTCCCACCAGGACCACCTCCGCAGCTTCTTGGGGACCCGTTCCAAGGCATGCGCAAGCCCATGAGCCCCATCACAGTCCAGGTCAGACCATGCTCCTTCGCAAACGCAGTTTATTGCTCCCTTTCAACCTTCTTCTTGCTTGTGGGGAAGAAAATTGCTACACTGCTTGGAAGTGATTTTGAATATTTCAAATTCAGTGAAGGCTAAAAATTGCTGAGCAACTAAATACACAGTTAAGACTCCTACTCTGTGAATGGCAGCACAAGTTAGGCCTACAATAACTGAGTTCCCCAGCCGCTGCTTACTAAGACATTTACAGAAAACTGGAAAGGGCGAGGGCGGTGTTCAACTCTCTGGCTTCACAAGTGGGGGAGGAGGAGAATACAGATCGGTAGTCAAGGCCAATGCCTATGAGGCTGGGGATCAAACAGGTCTTCCAACCCTTTCACCACTGCTGACACTAACCCATCCTTCACATGGCTTTCTGTTTTTCTCTGCTGGGTACGATCCTTTGTTTCAAAAACCCCCAGAGCTCACAGACAGTACTCACAGTGAAGGGTGTATTAAAGGAGTGACAGGGTCAGGAGTGACTCCGGATACAGGTCTTCAATCAGGATAGCCTCTTAGCCAGAGTCCTGCAGGCACACCCAGCCCCTACAGCCCCTGCCTTGCTCAGGCAATGGCTACAAAGCTATTTTAGCTCTCTCAATAAATGCTCAGAGGTTCTCTACTCCACCAGAAAAGCCTCTTCCAAAGGCACTTGGTGCTAGTTCTGTGGGTGAGCAAACTGAGCTCCCCTTGATTTAGTGCAGGGACACCCCTTTGACAAGCAAGCCTTTACCCAGAGGCACTCACCGACGGTTCTCGCTCTGGGCGATGGAACGCCTGTCTCATGCCCTTGGCTCTGCTATTGTCATTTCTCTGCATCTGTGTCTTTTTCTCTGGCATCACAGCTCTGTTTCCTGAATTGAGGCTTAGTACAGGTATTTTTTGCCTATAAATGGGCCCACTCTTGGTACTTCTTTTTTGATTTTAGTGCCATCTCCCTTTCTGCCTCTGCGATGGCACATTTGCCATCTTGCTATGTTTAAAAACTGACCAGTCCCTTTCTTAGGGTTCCATATACCTTATTTGCATGATCCCACCCCACAAATGTGCCGTGTATTTTGTCTACATTGGCAAGCTGCCTAATCCTCTTGGTGGGCCCCAGCCCCAGCCCCAGCACCCCACATGTGTATAGTTCTCATGTCAGTCATGTAGTGGGAATGATAAAGACTGACTGGAAGTAGAGTGTGCAGAGGAGCATGTTGACTGTCTCATTCTGCTGACCCTCCGCTCCTGCTTCTGTTTATCAGATGAGCCAGTTGGAGTTGCAACAGGCCGCTCTGGAGGGGCTGGCCTTGCCACATGACCTTGCAATGCAGACAGCAAACTTCTACCAGCCTGGTTTTGGCAAACCACAAGTGGACAGAACCAGAGATGGATACAGAAACAGGTAAGTCGTTGATCTTACCCAGGTTGGGATTAGTTTAAGAGGTTTCCTCAGATGTGCAAAACAGTGTAGCCCTGTACCAGCGGTTCTCAACCTGTGGGTCGTAATTCCTTTGGGAGTTGAACAGCCCTTTCACACGGGTCGCCTAAGACCATTGGAAAACACATAAATATTTCACAATATATAATTACATATTGTTTTGTGATGAATCACTGTGCTTTAATTATGTTCAATTTGTAACAATGAAAATAGATCCTGCGCATCAGATATTTACATTACAATTCATAACAGTAGCAAGATGACAGTTATAAAGTAGCAATGAAAAGAATGTTATGGTTGGGGGTCCCCACCACATGAGGAAGTGTATGCAAGGGTCGTGGCGTGAGGAAGGCGGAGAAGCACTGCTCCAGCTGTCTGCCGTGCGCCCACCCTCATCGTTGCCAGGACAGCATGGATACACCCACAGCCACAGGTGTGCAGTCTCCAAACCGGCCTTTTTGCTAAGAGAAACTGCCCCTTTGAGTTTCTGAGACTTTAATTGTACGGGAGTAGAAAGCCTCATCTTTCTCCCAGTCTCTCTACAGGCGGGGATTTTTGTCTTGTCTTGTTCGATACTTTACCCCCACACCAAGTATAACGCATAGTAGGTGCTCAGTTATCTGTTTACCAGAGTGAACGGGTGGCAGGTCATGCGGGGACCCAGATTAAGGGGTTCACTTCTTGTTTGCTTAGCATGTCACTGATCTGTGTGCTGTCCACATCCCCCTCAGAGTGGAGCATTGGGGCTTACTTAGTCTGGTGCAGATTAGGAAGAAGCCAGGCGTTTAGGACACCCATATGCTGCTGCGTTAGCTTCCAGAATCAGCAACTCCACTTAGACTTAAGTGTTTGTGGCACAGGGTTTGACTTCACTGGAGTGCAGTCAGGCTGTCATTTAGCCAGTGACCCAAACAGGTCTTTCTCCTACACCTTCTAGATTAACGAAGAATATGTATCATTGTGGGGCGGGAGGCCACGAGTCAGTTCTTCTTTCCCTGTTGTTTCCGAGGCTTAAGTCAGCCTGTGTGTAGAGTAAGAACGGGGGAGAGTATTACGTATAATGCAGCCCTGAGACCACGGGAACTCTTGGTTCTCTTTAGATTTGAACCACAGATCGTCAGTTCTATGGCAGATGCTCCTTGCCCTCTGGTGGAGTGCAGGAAACTCTTTCCTGTTCCTTCTACTTGAGTCGCTAAGCTCCATCCTGTAGCTTCTTGTTGCTCAGGCCCAGCTTAAACTGTATCGTTTTTCTGAGAAGCCTCCCAATTTCTTCAGTAGCGTATCCCGTCATTCCCTCAGGCCTTCCTTTCCCCCACTCTGCCTAGTTGGTGCCCACTACCATGGTTTGCCCGGAGCTGGTAAGTATCTCCTACACTGGACTGAGAGCTCTTGGGAAGAGTGGAACTTTGTTTCATTAAGTGTTGCTACCTCTTGGAGCTGAAAGTAAGCTGGATAAGGAGAGGTGTTGAATCCCTACGTTGACTTTAAGTACCATTTGGTTTTAGGTCAAGGACGTAAGATTTGAGCAGCTTGGTGATCAGATTGATGCTTGCTTTCTTCACAGGCAACAGCGAGTGACCAAGTCGCCAGCAAACATGCATCAAGGGAATTCCTCTTCCCCTGCTCCCTCGGCCTCCGTCACAAGCATGGTCAGTGACCTTTAGATTCCTCCTGGTATGGTTACACCTACAATAGACCACTTGACCAAGATGCCCTTGAGGACCTCCTCCTCCGTAGCTCCCTATTTGTTATGGACTCCCCTTTCCAGACAGCCTGTTCGGAGTCTACTAAAGCCCCTGTACTAGGGAACGTGTGTCCCAGTGGGCAGGCGACCGTGGCCAGGGCACACAAGCTGATGGAGCATGTTCAGACAAATGGACAGTCGCTTTGCAGGGAAGACAAGGGTAAAGGACAGGAGGCGAGGCTAGAAAGGATAACTGGGGTAGGACCGTGGTGAGTTCAGTAGAACATGCTGGGGGGTTGACATATATTCAGATATGTGGGCTATGGCGGACAGAAGGGTTTGAGTCATTTTGGTGGCATGTCTGGTTTTACCACTGGCTCATGTATCAGTACCATGAAACACAGGTGTACTCTCCACAGAATGTTGGCATCTAGTGGAGGCTGACAGATAAGTGTACTGTGTGCTTAGAGAATCTCAAATGGGCCTTCTCACCAACTACCTTGAAGCAGTCTCTAGAAGTCGCTTTCAATTCCTAATTCATACCTTTCTCTTGTCATCCAGGACTCATAGAAAAAGGCGCATGCAGAATAAAATTGTCTAAAATGTGTAGACAGTAAAGAGATGGGAAATATCCCCGAAACAGTGAATCCTAAAGGCTAAGGAGACCATTAACCTAATGTGAATTTTCTGATAGTCAAGTCGAAAGGGAGCCATCAGGAAGTAGGGAGTACGTTAGGGTTTGAAGTTGTCTCTGAAATGTCCTTTCCCAAATGTCCTAACGCCAGGCCGGGAAAACGGCTGAGACAAAGGCTGCATCAGCAGGTCCACCACCACCACAGACACAGGTAGGCTGAAGCTTTGAGCTTTAACTACCTTTGTTCTAGAGCTAAATCTAGGTTTTGATCAAAGTAACCCGGGAGCCTTCCTCTTGGTCCCAGACTGCTGCTTCTAGCCACAAGAGACCAGACTGTTGGCGTGGGCCTCTGCTACCATGTAGCAAACATGGGGCATTTCAACTGAGCAGCTTGGCCGTTGAATTCTGGATGGAGTAGGAAAGGCACTTGGCGAATGTGTTGATGCTGATTGTTTTCTCTGCAGCTTTCTCCCTCCTTCACCCCTACCTCGGTGATTCGAAAGATGTTCGAGAGCAAAGAGAAAAGCAAGGAGGAGCCTGCCTCTGGGAAAGCCGCTCTTGGTGACCATAAAGAGGGCACTCAGGAGGCCAGTGAAGGTACTGCAGTGTTTGAGGGGCTCCCTGAGAACGGGGCGACGGAGAGCGCACGGGCTTGACTTGATTCTCCGCAGAGGCGAGGGCAGCCCTGACAGTGGGCCGCGTCGGGCCACTTGTTTGCAGTTGCTCCTGTGAGGTGCCCGTGAGCTGGCTCCAACTCATAGTGACTCTTAACACAGAACAGACCCTGCCTGGCCCTGCACCATCCGCCCGTTCCTCGTGTGAGCCCATCGTTGTTTTCCACCAAGTGGCCTCCCGATACCCTGTCCAAAGCACGCGAGGCAGTCTCACCATCCTCACTTCTGAGATGGTCCTTTTTCCAGATAGTCATTAGTTCTTCTGGCGATCCACAGTACTTTCAGTGTTCTTAGCCAACAAAATAATTCAGATGCACCGATTCTTCTGTGGTGTCCTTTCACATGTATATAAGGTGATTGGGTCAGGCATACCTTAGTCCTTAAAAGTTGCATCCTTGCTCATCAAATGTCTTTTTAAAATCTTTTTAGCAGATATGCCCAAAGTTAATATGTTACTTGATTTCTTGGCTGATACCTCATGAACACCGGTTATGGATCCCAGTACAATGAAATCCTTGGCAACTTCAGGCCTTTCTCCATTTACCATGTCTACTAATTCCGTTGTAAGGATTTTTTTAAAAAATCATTTTTCTGGGGGCTCATACAACTCTTATCACAATCCATACATACATCCATTGTGTCAAGCACATCTGTACATGTGCTTCCATCATCATTTTCAAAGCATTTTCTTTCTACACGAGCCCTTGGTGTCAACTTCTCATTTCCCCGCCTCCCTCTTCCACCCCATTGTAAGGAATTTTATTTGCTTTACTTTGAGCTGTAAACCACACTGAAGGCTGCAGTCTTTGATCATCAAGTTCTCATTCTTAAGCAAGGTTTCGTCATCTGCATATTGCCTTCTTGTAATCTTCTTAGATTACTTGTTCAGCACACAGATTAAGTATGGTGAAAGGATACAAACCCAAGGCACACCTTTCCCGAGTTCAAGCCACACAGTATTAATTATTGTCCCTTGTTAGGTTTGGACGACTGCCTCTTGGTCTGTGTACAATTTCCCCATGAACACAATCACGTGTTCTGAAATTCCCATTCTTTTCAACATTATCCGTAACTTAGGAGCTACAGTTAATTGTTGAGCTATTCAAAATTCTGACCAATCTTAGAGTGCTAATACCCAGGAAGACTAAGATTTACTTTATATCCTTGTTGCTTAAACTTTTGAGTTATTACACTTATTTTTCAAAGTGCTAGAGTTCTGGGCTGTGGAGAGACGTGCAGCAGTTTAAGTTTTAGGGAGTACGTGTCGGAGGAGGCCTCTTAGAGGATAGAGAAAGTGTGAGAGGGGCTTTTAGGAGCCACACTTGGACATGGGGACACAGCTCTACCAGGTCTTACCCAGGATGGGCACAGATAGGTACAAGCTTTTGCCATTGTTGAGGCTTCTGGAAAAGGAGATCTGTTGGTTATAACAGGTATTTCAGGTTTTCCCACCAGACCCTGACTGCTGGTTAAAGTTTCTGTCGATAATTTGCATTATTTTATACACATAGGATTTTCATAAGCTAAAGGCATGTAGGAGCCCTGGTGGCTGACAAATCTGGCAAGTGGGGGGGCCACCTGAGTTAGACCACTAGACCCGGATAGCCCAGGGTCACTTTATCCATAACTAATCTGGGTTAAAAAGATGGTAAGTATAAAGGCTTGAGGTTTTTTTTTTAAAGTTTTGGCTTTTAGAACATCCAGGCCTAAGGATTTTCTAGAATGTAGCAAAAATACTATTCCAGCAAGGACAATCAGTGATGACCCCTGGCATCCCGTTGAAGGGATCAAGTAAGAATTGTGAGTTTTTTAAGAAATGAGGTTTGCTATACCCGGAGGCCAAGTGTTAGAATTGGTTTGCCAAAATGAAAATATTCTGTCCGGTTCCTTACAGACAACCTGCTGTCATCCAACCCCATGTCCAGTGCTGATCGAGACTCTTCTCCCACGACAAATCCCAAGATGTCAACGTTGCAGCGGTCTTCCTGCTCTACCCCTCTGTCCCAAACCAACCGTTACACCAAAGAACAAGATTATCGACCTAAAGCAGCCGGGAGGAAAACACCCACCTTGGCCTCCCCAGTTCCAGGAGCACCTTTTCTCCGCCCTGTCCACCAAGTCCCCCTGGTCCCCCATGTACCAATCGTTCGACCTGCTCACCAGCTTCACCCAGGCCTGGTCCAAAGGATGCATATTCAACAGCATCTTCCAAGTTTGCTCCAAGCTGGTAAGTTTCTGACCAGGCCTGGCTTGGACATAGGTGTGTGGACCGGCACTAGACTGAAAGGGGTTTTAATCCTCAGAAAAGTAATGTTGTATTCTTCTATGTCATCTAGTGGGCAGTGGGTCCAGCCCAATCCATTCTTTTGTTAATTAAGATTAGGTACCTAGCTCAAGCATTCTCGATTCTTAAATAAACCTTTGACTCGGCAAAACTGTACATTCAAGCTTGAAAATAATTGGAAGACTAAGATCACTCAGCAGTTTCTTTTATCTGCCTAATAGGTATGCTTCCACCAGGGATGGACCTGACGCATTTACAGGGTATATCTGGCCCAATCCTGGGTCAGCCTTTTTACCCTTTACCCGCTGCTAATCACCCTCTACTAAACCCTCGTCCCGGGACACCTCTGCATCTGGCAATGATGCAGCAGCAGTTACAGCGCTCAGGTGAGCTCACGAAGGGGCTACCTAGGCTGGAAGCTTTCGGAACAGTTCTAATGGAGGGCTGGAGTGACGTGAACATCTTCCGTGATTTCTAGTAAGAGGTCTGTAACCAGAGAATTGCATGGAGCCCCACCTCAGTGAGATACTGAGCATTCTTGTCTTTTCGAGGGTGGTAGTTAAAAAGAAAAAGGAGGCGGGCTGGTAATAAAGGCGTGGATATAGACACTGGCTTTCTTCGTCCTTTGCTTGAGAGGCTAAGAGTCCCTTAAACGAGGGCCAGCAGATGTTCTCCCACGCTAGGTGTTCTACCACCCAGGATGTGGTCCTAAGTAATCAACATGGATTCTGAGTAGCTTAGCTTTCCATGGAACTTTTTCTGATTATATTTCAAAGCAATTTCCTAAAACGATCATAGAAAAAATTTCCTTGGTGGGTGAGGGTTTCCATGTAGGGTTTTAAAAAAAAGCAGGCTGTAATAAAGAGCCTACTATTCCTTCATGTTGTGATCATCTTTCCTCTTTATCCCTAGTTCTGCATCCTCCAGGCTCCGGGTCTCAAGCAGCTGCTGTTAGCGTTCCCGTAACCCCCCAGAATGTGCCCAGCAGGTCGGGCCTGCCCCACGTGCACCCCCAGCTGGAGCACCGCCCTAGCCAGAGGAGCAGCTCTCCGGTGGGCCTTGCCAAGTGGTTTGGCTCAGATGTGCTGCAGCAACCCTTGCCTTCTATGCCTGCCAAAGTCATCAGTGTAGACGAGCTGGAGTACCGACCGTGAGCCGGCCAGGCCTGCACGCCGAAGCCTGGACCTGCGCTGGCAGTCACGTCAGGACTCTGCTCATCACGTCGGGTTGGTGTATTGGCTTTTACTGTGGCACACTCTGGCGAAGCTGTTTGAGGGCCTTTGGAGTGCCCATGCATCCAGGGTGCTCTACATTATGGTAGAAGGATCTCAGAACCAATCGCGAGGAGCCTGCGGTCTGAATACAGGAGGCAGCACTGTCTGGATCCTACTAACAGTCTTTCTTTTTTGTAAGATATGTGAATGAAGTGTTGGTGCCCTCACCAAGAGGGTGGCACCTAAGGGTTCTAAGGAAATAAATGTATAGACCCTTATGTACAGACTTGTGTATAAACAACTTTTGTATATACATATAGGATAGCTTTTTTGAACTTATACAGCTGTACATAAAAGTAGCTGATACTAGTTAAGCCTGTGTCAAAGTTGGATTTTTTTTTTCCACTTGTACATTTGGGACTTTTTTTTCCCCTTGGTTGATTAAAGTTGCATATGCTAAGTGTGTGAATGAAGTAAACGGCAACATTGTGTTTTATTTGCTCTTCTTCCATGTCTCCAGCCCGCTCTTCCTAACAGTAAGGCTTGGTAAATCCCTTGTGCATTAATCAGAGCAGCTCTAATTTTTCTTAAGAATTCAACGTTTTACATGGAGTTGAACTCTTCTCTCAAGAGCCCAGTGGGTCTGATGTAAGCTTACACTGAGCTGACCCCATAGATGCCGTGGTAATAACATGCAGTTCCCAATAAGGAATACAAATTTTCTCATTGGTGAATCATAAAAGAGAGGCCTTTCCCCCTCTTCCAACCCCATTTGCAAATCCAACAGCAAATCACATTGTGGGCAGAATCTTGCTGGCACTGTTTCCCAAGCTCAAATCCAAGGGCCACAGAATTACTTCAGTCTGTTCATCTTTTTCTATGGTCTGTTACCCTTGTGTATCATTCTTCGGCTCACGTTGCTGGCTTTTCATTGTTCACCTAAGTCCATAAAAAGCACTGGAGAAAAGTCTACCTGAGTACTGTAGGCTCTGCAGTTCCCTTCCCTGACGGAAGGTCAATTCCTGCTTCTCCTCACGCCTGAGTTCTTGATTTGTCCATTTAAGGTCACAGAACGCCCTCTAACACCCAAGGTAAAGAGCAAGGTAGGCTTTGACGACAAGCATAAAAGCCAAGTTTTGAGTGGGGGGTGGGGGTGGGGCTGGCCACCCTGAACTACACCCCAGCAACACAAGGTAAGTCCACCTTTAGGCAAAAAAAGGCTTTGTGGATTGAGCATAAGGTCACTTTCTACCTAGTAGTTCTCTTTCAAGTTTATTAGGACCCCACCCC